CTAAGATGCTTAAAACATTGTAAAGTGTCTTCGTACTTTAGGTATGAAAAAACAGGATGCTAAAGTAGTTAAGTAAATTTCTAAAATACTGTTAAAAAGATTTAGAACTTGTAAGGACAGCTGTACATATCTAATGAAATTCAGTTTAGTTACATATTGCAGTTTTAATCTTCTGTCAATTTTTTTCTTTTAAGAAAATAAGACAGCATATAAATTATATATTATCGTCTTAGTTTTACTAGTCTTGTATTTCAGCTGCATATTGTACACATTAGATTTATTTTGACATTATAAAACAGACCATCCAGATATTGGACAATAAAAAAAGTCAATGCTAAAAATAATTTAATCACAATTCCCAAACTTTTGGAAATATTACTTACATTTATTGTAAATACTGTAATTTATAGTGACAATACACAACAGGAATTTCCCTCATTCAATCCAACAAACCCTGATATGACTCAATTTCTTATATGGAATTATAACTATAATGTAATAGTTTATGGGAAGCACACACAATACAAATCTAAGAAATAGATTATGAATTGTCTTTATTTACAACACCACTTAAACTATAATTATATATTGGTAGCACAGGTTGTAGGATATTGAATTTCAAAATAAAGGAGCAATACCACTGCTGAAATAAGGTAAGTTTGATGTTACAGTTTGGTAGCCTTCAACTGATTCCAGTTGTTGTAAATGAAAAAGGAATCCAAACAGAGAAATACTTCCCCAAATATGTAATACACATTTTCGAGAAATATCATACTCGGACACATTTAGCAAGATACGATTTTATAGAAAAAAGCACATTTGTGTTGTACAGATGAGTGCTGAATCTCTTTCTGGCTAATACAGTAAGTACTTCATTTTAGGCAGCTAGAAAGAAAAATGTTTCTCTCCTGCTCTTTTTAAATAAGAAGCTTGGTAGTAATGACACAGAAATACGAAAGATGTCATCAGCTTCCAGCCCAAATCTCAAGGTGATTAGGATCTACTTTTATAATGGCTTGGAACTTCATTTCTTCTGTATATTACAAATTTCAAAAGAAGCCCATTGAGAGACTAGATGAAGACTAAAGAGAAAATGTAATCCTCATCTTGAGCATTTCAAGTCCAATATTTTTTTTTGTTGTTTTTCTTTTGATATTTTGAGAAACTGAGAAGTCTGAGTAATTAAAGGAAGTGACATACCTTGACACGGTTATTGGGTCCCTGCTGAAAGAATGGTTTTGGTGGTTATGATGCACTGCAATTTACAGTCCAATATATTAAGGAAATCAAGACTGCTTTTATCACTACTACATCTTAAAGTGAGAGCTGCCATAGCTCAAAATTTCTGTTGAGCTGTATGACCTGCCCTGATTGCTTAAACCAGCTCTGGCCAAGCAGAAGCATAGGAAAAAATTGATGCAGGCTGTGTCAAGCATGCAGATAACCCCAAATTATACCTTGAAAAACAAACACATAAAACCTAAATTTGAGTTCAACTTTTTGATACTAATTCTCGATAAATGACAACATAATTCCAAATCAAAGTTGAACTTGAATATGATCCAGATCTGAAATATTCATACTAACTGTGACTGGTTTTTCTCCCTTGTCCCCTTTGGGTTTGTTCTTAAGCTAACCAGAAAAGGTTAGGTCCCCAAAAGATTTTTATCTAAAAATTCATTTGACCACTCAATCCTCTTATCTTTTTACTTAGAAAAAATGGCCTCTCTCAGAGACTATGAATGATTTCTGACCTAATGAGGTATCTTACGGTGCCTCAGAGCACTTCTCTCATAAGTAGTATGGGATTACTATCTTGGACTGTTCAGAAACATAAAAGGGGAACATATAAAGCTTGCCCCCTGTTGACTTCTATAGAGCTGTCGAGATTTTGAAGATTTGTTTTAATGCAACGATTAAAAGACACACATATGGAGGAAAAAGCTGGAGATCACTCCATCTTAGCAATTCTCAAAACTCCAAAGTCACAAGAACTCACCTAAAAATGAGATATCCCAATGCTAACCTCAGCCCATCCTCCTCTAACTCAGCAATTGGTCACTCCTCATCCTCAGGTAAGATAAGGGCAGCTCAAAATCTTGCCATGGGGCTGGTGTGGAGTTGTGTCTGTTCTCAGACAGGGCTCTGACACTCGTCTCTAGCAAGAATGGCGTCTGGCCAGCACTGCCTGCTCTGGGGCTGTGACTGGGCTCGGCACTTTGCACGTGCTTAACGAGTGCTGCTGTCACCTGTTCAAGAACGTTCTGCTCTACCAAAATTACATACTCCCAGAGAACACAAAGAGGTTGTAACACTCACATTTTAGTACATTAATGACCTGATTAGTTTAAAACTGAACAGTAGCAAGCTGTTCTCTGGAGAGTCCACCTTGGACAAGAAAAGTCCCTCTAGCCAAGCGTACACAGAAACTAACTTATCAGCTTGGTTTGGCTGGAAAGAATACCCCAGCACTGCCAATGTCTATATATTTGCCATTAGAAATTCATTTTTTTCTTCTAACACTAAGATCAGTCAGGGAACAAAAAATATTTTTCTTTTAAATCACATTTAAGTTGTCATTTTTTTTCCTGTCATCCTTCTTTGCTGACTTCAGTTCTTTCCAGCAACTGGGGCTCAGAGCATGGGGTTTTTGTTTGTTTGCTTCTAAAAACAAAGACACTTCCCTTGCCAGGTAGGCTTTTGGAGTTCTTGCAGCTTTATTTTAAACAAATTCTTAGTTTCCTAGATACATATTAATGTTGTGAGAATGCTCTTTCTGTCACGAGCGGACAATTACAAGTGCGGCCGCATATAAATCACAACAGCACATGACAGATTCTGCAAGCTGGCCGTAGCCAAAATGTTTGTGATTTCCTTAGCCCAGGGATAATATAAACATAATTATTTTTCTTCAAAAATTGTACTTATTTGATGTATTCATTTCCAAGAACCTTTTAAGGGAAAAAACATAGGGCATGTTGTGCCTACGTGTTCATTGCCACAGATCAAACCAGGAGATGCGTTCAGATCAGGCTCAGGCTGTAGAAGGGAGACTGGAAATTATGCATAGTTTACAAACTGGTTAATCAACACTTCCGATAAATCCATAAAACTGATACATCACAGTCAAAATATCTTGTGGACTCATTCAAAAACAATAATTAAATCTGGGAGGCTTTTTTCTGTTTGGTTTTTGGGGTTTTTTTTAATTATTTTTTTTTTTAAAAGCAGATTTCATTTTGACAGAGCATTTAGAAACAAACCTTGTGAAAAATAGAAATCATTTAGAAACAAACTTTGTAAAAAATAGAAATATATAGAAATGCTAATGGAACATAGCACAGTACAGGAAGGATAATGACATGCTGATGAAAAATGATACTATATGAATGCTTCATATTAGATTAATTAACTAAATATCTATATATAACACAGGATTCTGATGGATTAAAATTCCAGCTCAAGAAAAGAATAATATGGGTTTGGAAACATATCTCCTTTCTCAACGACGAGGACAGCAAAGACATTGCAGAAGAAATCGAAAAGGCTATAGAGGCTGAAAATACGATTATAATGAAACTTCAGTTATCCAATTATTAGGATAATTAGGGTAAATGAACTAGAGAAAGATGCTGATACTGAATTTTTAGACTTGCATTTTATATGTGTTCTTCAAGGAGCAGCCAGGGAGCAGAGTCACAGGAAGAGAAGCTTCTGGTTAAGGCTCAAGATTTAGTTAAAAACATTGTGTATAAAAGGTACAGTGTTGCAGTGATCAAAATATCCTTAAATTCAGCTTCATTGTGTGTGCAACAGTCTTCTAAAAGAAGGATAACAATATGTTTTACTCTCCAAAAGCAAGCTACATGAAAACATTGAAATTTGCTGGAAAGAAACCAAGGGATCAAACCTTTGCAAGGTGATGGATACAACTGAAAGGCACTGTACTGGAATCTGGAATAAATTCATGCAGGCAAGACTTGAGAAAGGCCAAAATAAAACCAGCAGGATTCTATTGTTCACATAGATGCAAATCCATACTTCACTGATGGTTTGAGCTGTATGAAGGTTTACTCAGTAGAGCAGAATAAGTGCAAACCTAATTGCTGAAGGATTAAAAAGAAACCTTAGAGAAATCTCAAGGAATAAGAAGAAAATTAATACAAATTTAAAGACCTGTTTCTCTATGCTTTGAGAGAAAGCAACAAGTCAGGGCCAGATGCAAAGGATAAAACTAAGACAAAATTTTTTCACATGTATTTATTTTTTTTATCATCATCTTTTTTATTCTGACCTCATTTGAACTGATTCACAGAATGTTAAGTCTTCTGTAAACCTCCCGGAACGCTGGTTCATTCCTGTCATAATTCAAGCATGCATTTTTGCATGTCTGGTCCTTAGCAGTTGTTCTAAGTATGAAAGTCCCTGGTGACACTGAAAATAGGTAAGACCATTCGATCAAGCAAGTGGCGTAAGCAATGTGGTGTTCTGACTTGTCTTTTAGAACTGCAAAAGCCACATACTTTGGAGTCAGAAGATTTCAATTAACACAACTGAAAGCTCAAAATTTTCTATTCAAAGAGAAGATCTTCCTGAAACTTTGAATTAATTGCACAGAAAGCATGGAAATTTCACCAATACTGAAACAGTGGTCCGGCAATTTAGCGAACAATCTTATCTCTCTACCCTTATGTGCAGCAAAACCTCGTTCATTAAAAAAGTCTTTATTCAGGAAGAAAAAGACCTGGCAAAAAAGGCAAATAGTGCATCCCCAGCAGAAATGTGGAACGGTGAAAAATTAACACTAATCCAAGCATAAAATACCCACACAATGGCGAATGTCACTTTTTCCCTTTCAGCTTTCATCACAATTTGCAAACCAGGAATCAGAGAGAATGTGCCAGTCTCACACAGTCCCACAAACAACCTGTCCCAGCATAAATCAAAGGACTTCACCTCACCAGTGGTAAATACACATACAAAAACTTCCTCCATGTTACCTGTGGCAATACTGCCTGGAGATTTATCATGTCTTCTGCTTGCTGCCTTGCACCCTGAGAATCTGTCACCGTAAACATCAGGAAAAGAACCATTCCAAAGGAACCAGGCATCTCTGATACCCCTGGGGGCCCTGCATCTTACCCCTTCTCTCTCTGGGTAGGGAGAGAAGGAAGGGACATGGTAGGCTTTTTTACTTCTCCCTCTTAAGTTTAATTTTCCCTAATAATATCTTATAATTATTGCAAAAATGTAGTTTATAGTAAACCTTTCTTAAAATAGAAGACTGGCTTACCCAAGAGCCAAAAGCATACCATGTTTTTTATTGTGCATTTTTCAATGGTAACAGAGAAGTGGAACTAGTGCACACAGAATTAAAGTCAAAAGAGCACCTCAAAATCCATGCAGTAGTTTCACAGCTTCCCCTTTGATGAAAACAACTCTGTGTTTAGAACTTCCAAATGCCTTTACCCCCTACAGATACAAGCTCATTTAGAAAGCTAAATTAATGCTGGGTATAATGCATATTGCAAAAGGCGATATAGCTCAAACGTCTGAGTGTTGAAATGCAGCACGGGACAAGCAGAGGAGTACCTGTTGTACAAAGCAGTCATTTCCCATGTCTTTAGGGAAACAAACAGAAACCCATTATTCTTCTGAAGCTGTCCAGAGTGGTTAGGACTGTGTGATGGAGTTGTGAATAATTTCTTTGGAAGACAGATTCATTTCTTTTAGCACTGACTGAAAGAAAACTAGTTAACTTTGGACTGATATGGATGAAGACCGGGGATCAATTCTGTTTTGCCAAGTCTTTCTTCTACTAATCACCAGAAGAGGTTTGTTTAAAAAAAATCTGGTAGCAATGACGTCTTAAAAATCTATGAATTTCTAATCAGGGATTTAGAGGTATTTCATTTGCTTTTTTTAAACATAGCTTCATGAACAGCTGCATGAGGAATGAAAATGTTACCAAACTGCAGACTTTCCATAGAGTTGTTTTCACTTGGCTCTTCATACTTATGTAGAATATAAATTCACTTCATACGTGGCCAGAAAGGAATACAAAACAATTTGGATCTTGCAACCATTTTCTTAAAACTGAAAGAAATTAATGAAAATTCCCATCTAGCTAGCACTGTGTTTAGAGGAGATATATGCAGTAATTAGAAATTTGACAAAAGGTGGAAGAAAAAAGGAATAGGAAATAAACCCAGAGAACTAAATGAACATTTTAAAAATAACAAGGCCTGACAGCAAAATGAAGTGAAGGCATTTAGTTCAGCTTGGTTTTGAAAACTTAGACCAATTTGAGAAGTGACAGAATAGTGAAGCACTAGCCTCGGGGCATCAGAGAAAGTTTCAAAGATTAAGTTGTTTTCCTCATAACTGACTTTAATACTGAGTGTGCAGCGCGGGCCAACAGAGTGCGGGGCACTTGATTACAAAAGATGTGTTTGCTGTAGAGTCTGCACCCATCTGTCTTCTTGCTCTGTCCACTCACTGCAGCTGCTCGGCTGAAAGCTTTTATGGAGCAAGTGCTTTGTGTTGGTGAGTGTCTGCACCCTCCGTAACGTGACTCTGTGTCTGATAATACTAGACATTGGGATTATTGCTAATAAACTAGATGTACAAGTTCCTGATTTACACTAAGGGTTATGGCACAAATCACTGCATTTCATTCACCGCTGTGAAGAAAAGGCTTTAGCAAATCCCAGGTCTTTAGAGCACTTGTTGACCTGACCAGCTTTGCCTTCTACAAGTATTTATCACAAACAAACAGTAGAGCAATTTTGCATTTTCCCTTATCAGTTTCTTCAAGCTAGTTCTCTAAATAGTGATTATAATAAAAGAATAATTTCAAGAAACCTCTGAAGCTAGAGTTTTTGAACTTTATTGTATCATACCAGTAAAATTGGTTTCCTACTATTGATTTTCTAAGAACTGTTATAATAATGCTAGGCTGACAAATAAATGCTACTAGAAAGTAAAAATGTTCGTTAAATTCCTGGAAGAATTATGATAATAAAGATGATGATACGATGAACATGGCCTAAAAGCACTTGAACGGAGCCTGGTCATTTCCATTAAAAGGTGTGGTTTTTCCTAAGCTTTTGCAATAAAGCAATTTCATTATCCACAGAAAAATGAAAGAAAAATCTGATAAAGGCAAATAAATAATTCTAGAAATAATAATAAAAAAGCAGGGCTTGTTTTCTGAGATTGCTTACTGCAAATTGTGGGAAAACACTCTGCCACATTCCTACCCTCATAATAACTCTCATAATACAAAGGCGGACACCACCCAGTTTCTTTTAGAGTTCTGGTACTATGTTGGTATATTATATCCAGGCAAAAGCATACTACTCATTCCATTTAAGCTAATTACTCATGAACAGACTCAGGGAGATGAAAGAATAATTCATATCTGAATTTAGGAAGAGAGGTATTTGCTTGGGGCATAGGGAAAGGTGAAGAACAGGGAAGAGCAAGATAAACCAAAGTATTTCATAATAAATTCTAAAGTTACTATATTTTAAATCTTGACACTGCACTTTGGATAAGATTCGACTGAAAATTCTCAGGCAAACACTTTTCACACTTCCAGTAGTTCATAGCTGATTGAAATTAGCAGCTACTCCCTTGGTTTTTTCTTCCCCCGAGACAAAATTTCACCTGCAATGGTCAGTCACGGCTCTGTGTGTGAAGAAGGTCCCTTTGTTTGGATTCTTTTCCTCTGAGCCTGCCTAAGACAGTCTGACAGCCAGCTCACCGCTGCAGCTCCCCTTCCCTTGGTGCAGTGACCGGCTGGCGTTGGGCTGCCTGCACGGTTCCTCTGCTGGTACAAACCTGTGAGAGTGAGAATCCCACTGCGCTCTGGGGACTGCTTTATAAACCAATTTGTTTTGTGAATTTTATCAGGAAGGATTGCTTATCTGGAAATCTATACTAGAAGTTCATAATGTACTTAGAGGGAAGAGGAGAGAAAATACAGATTTGCAAAGCGTAATGCTTAGTTGAAAATTAGTCCTGGACAGTTTTTAGATAAAACACATGTATTGAATCGTAGGAAGTTCTATAATCCTAAAGCATAAATGTCTTTAAATAAGTTAGAGTTGAATTTTAATGTTTGTTGAAGCAAACCCCAAATCAACCTACAGTCTTTGTTAAAAACGTATAACCAAGTTTTGTGTTTCTTAATGTCACTTTCGGTAAAGTTATGTGTTACACCTGAATCAATATTCATCTTGTTGCCAAGAAAAACTGTCTTATGTTAAACTATGATATATTTTTCTTCTCAAAACAATTTCAAACAGAATGTATGAAGGTCTGAAAAAATGTATTTTAAAAACATACTTAGTGGGAAGGAGATCCAAATGATTTAGCTTGATGGATGCTGCGCAAACTTTAATCAACATAAATAAGCTGGAAAATAGTTTCAGATTGCTTACAGCAGTTGTAGTAACTCTTGTTGGAAATTCTGTCTCTCAGGTGAGTCTAATGTCTGTTAACAGCAGTTTTGTGACCTTGCAGGGTGCAAGGAGTACTAGATAGTGTTCTGAGAATCATCCCTATCACAGTATCTTTAATTTCATTCTATTCTATGAGCAGCCAAGAGCAGGTTGAAAGCTTATGGGTAAGGATTAGAGATGGAAGCAATAAAGGGAGCCTTGTGGTTGGTGTCTACTACAGGCCACCTGATCAAGGAGAGCCTATTGATGAAGCCTTCTTACTCCAGCTCCAGGAGGCATCTCGCTCAGAGGCTCTTGTCCCACTGAGGGTAGACAATCATCCTGACATCTGCTGGAAAAATAGCATGGTGGGCTGTAGGCAATCCAGGAGACTCCTGGAATGCATCGGGGATACCTTAAGCCAGGTAATAGACAGCCGTTCCAGAGGGAACGAGACACTGGACCTGTTGGTCACCAACGCAAATTCAGCTGGAGCTGAACTTTGCAAGGGATGTAAAAAATAAGAAGGGCTTCTACAGGTAGGTCAGCCAGAAAAGGAAGGTCAAAGAAAGGTTATTCCCCCTATGAGCAAAATTGGCAAACTGGTAACAATAGACGAGCAGGAGGCTGAAGTACTAACAGTTTTTTTTACCTCAGTCTTCACTGGCAACCTCTTCCCAGACCTCTTGAGTGGATGGACCACAAGGCACGGACTCGAGGAGCAAAGTACCTCCCACTGTAAGAGAAGATCAGGATCGTGACCACCTGAGGAACCACATCCTGGACTGCATCACAAGAGATGTGGCCAGCAGGTCAAGAAAGGTGATTCTTCCCCTCTATTCTGCCCTGGTGAGGCCCTACCTGAAGTACTGCATCCAGCAATACAGGAAAGACATGGACCTGTTTGAGCAGGTCCAGAGGAGGGCCACAGAAAGGATCAGAGGGCTGGAGCACCTCTCCTATGAGGACAGGCTGAGAGAGTTAGGGTTGTTCAGCCTGAAGAAAAGAAGGCTCCAGGGAGACCTTATTGTGGCTTTTCAGTACCTAAAGGGGGCTTATAAGAAAGATGGGAAGATCTTATAAAAAGCGCTAATGGGTTTAAACTAAAAGAGGAAAGATTCAGCCTAGATATAAGGAAGATTTTTTGGTTACAATGAGGGTGGTGAAACACTGGTACAGGTTGCCCAGAGGAGTGGTAGATGCCCCATCGAAACACTGAGATTGGGAACGGCTCTGAGAAACCTGATCTAGTGGAAGATGTCCCTGTTTATTGCAGGAGGGTTAGAGTAGACGATCCTTAAAGGTCCCTTCCAACCCAAACTATTCTATGATTCTCAGATAGCTAATGAAATATATTTCTGTTAGAATCATTGCTGGGGGAATAGAGGACAACTTTCATAGATTGGTCTATCTCTGGCAGACTAGTATAGCGAAAAAAAAAGGCACTGAATAAATCAGATATTAGATTGCGTATGAAATCCTAGACACAGCAACTACTCTCATCATAGTTTGATCATGACTTTAGTTCTAAAGTAGGAGATGTTTGAGACTGTGCATGAGAAATTATTTTCACCTACACTTTCTACTAATTTTTGTATGCAAGTAGTGCTATTTGATCTTCAAAAAAAAAAAAAGAATATCTTTATACATATATTCAGAAAGAA